GTTATTTACTAATAATGATATATTAATTAGTAAAACATCATTTGCATGAATTGACATAAACATTAAATACGTGTATATATAAGAGCATATATATATAGTATACATAAAGTACAATAGTACTTTTTAGATTGAGATTGGTGGAAAAGTGAAAATTTTCACTTCCCTCCAAAATATTTTGAGTATATGAGTTGGAGGGCAAAGATATGAATCCCACATTGGTTCTTGGAGGTTCTTCATGGATTCATCTTCATCTATAATTAGAGGAAGAACTTCATTCTCCACTTAAGGCCTCAAGGAATCCTCTGAAAGAGGAGGCCTACATAATGAGAACTTTAAGTTATTGTTGGAGTATAGATAGTCTAGGTTTATTAGGATTTCTTTTCCCTTTTGTACCCTTACTATGATTTTTATATTTTGCCTAAACTACAAGGATGTTTAAGTCACTCTGTATTATTTTTGGATATATATACGAGGTTCTACTCTTAATTTGAGTATCCCTTTTCATTCACAACTATCTCAAGTTGGTATCAGAGCCATTAACCCTAACCCTAATTCTAACTTAAGCCTCCACTCCATCGTCTACCTCTGCTACACCGTCCAGCAGCCCCACCGACAGAACCCACATACCAGCCACCGACATCACTGCCCACCAGCAAAACCGACAAACCAAAATCGTCTACCTCTGCTACACCGTCCAGCAGCCCCACTGACAAAACCACACACCAGCCCATTCCATCGACCCACTCAAACCAGCAAAGGAACCTAGTCTCCCATCAGAACCAGACCACACCGCCAGCGACAAAACCAGACAAGCTACTGCCTGGTACCACCGACAGCCATAAAGCACCGACAAACTCCACCGACAACCAACATCAACATCACCGATCACCATAAAGCACCGAGCACCGACAACTGACCGTTCACCGAATCAGTCCACCGACTGAAGCGAAAATCCTACATCAAACTCCACCGACATATTAAAATCCAACTCCTCACCAAACTCCACCGACATATTAAAACCCAACTCCTACATCAAACTCCACCGACATATTAAAACCCAACACAGCCCAGCCCAGCCAATAAACCCAACACAGCCCAGCCCAGCCGACCCAACACAGCCCAGCCCAGCCGACATATTAAATCCATACCCAAAACAATTCTCAACCCAACACAGTCCAGCCGACATATTAAATCCATACCCAACATACACCCCACCGACATATTAAATCCATACCCAGCTCACTGTTATATCTAGGATTTTTTTTATGAGGGGTTGTTGATTTGCTCTTGATGCAGTAGATCACTTATTTATATATTTTGGATTTCTGGGCACCGTGACTTGATTATTTGGGAGTTTTTTGGACCTTCCTTATTTGTCGCTACTGTTCGACTGAAGGTATATTGTTCTCCCTTATTTTATTCCTCTATTTATCTTAGAGTTATTTTTCTGTTACGGGTGCCCTAGTATTGTTGTTGATATGACTACTACTGAGGGACTTGAGAACCCTACTGTTGACACCTCTACCGTTGAGACATCTATGGGTACTTCCACTTTTATGTTTGACCAGTATACAGTGCCTACTAGCACAGTTGCATTACCAGCATTACCGGACATGATCTCTCAAAAAGTTACGGCACAATTGTTGAATGGTCGTAACTTCGCTGAGTGGTCACGCTCATTCCAGCTTTTCTTAGGCCGTGTAGGAAAGCTTGGTTGGCTGACGGGATCTCACCCAAAGCCAGCTGATGCCGACCCTGGATATTCTGCATGGTTCTCTGAAAACTGTGCCATTCTTGGATGGTTATTTGGCTCAATGGAGCCCTCTGTTTGCAGGATCCACCAGTTTCATAGCTCTGTTCCGAAGCTATGGAGCGCATTATCAGAGATGTATTCTCAGTCAGGACGGGGAGTTTGTGTTTATGAGCTTTCTCAGGAGCTCTCATATGCTCGGCAGGGAGATATGACCGTTCAGGATTATTATGGCTATTTGACCCAGCGCTGACTTGAGTATGAGTCTCTACGTCCTCTTGCTGCTATTCCGAAGATAGAGCCCGAGGGAGCAGCATTCTTGCATACTCGAGAGCAGGAGGATAGGATTCACAAGTTCCTTATGGGGCTTCGTGATGAGTTTGAGGGACCTCGTTCTCAGATCTTGTCGATGTTGACACTTCCTTCTCTTTATGAGGTGTATGGGATGATTGAGCAGCATGAGCGTCGAGTCCGTATTGCATCACTTCCAGTTGCAGCTTTGACTCCTTCGATTGACCAGATGGCCCTTGCAGCTGCTGTAGGGTCCCGTTCAGGATCCTTAGTCAGGGATGGGCAACGCCGTCAGGGCGCCCTAGATCAGCGCAGACGGGGGGATTCCCGTCAATGTGATTATTGTGGCCGACCAGGACATCTCAGGGCTACTTGCTGGAAGCTCCATCCAGAGCTTAAGCCACCTTCTCGCAGCCGTACTGTTGCTATTGCTGAGGTACCACCGCCCACTACCGCCACTCCTTCATGGATTCATCTTCATCTATAATTAGAGGAAGAACTTCATTCTCCACTTAAGGCCTCAAGGAATCCTCTGAAAGAGGAGGCCTACATAATGAGAACTTTAAGTTATAATTTTGTATATGTATATATATATATATATATATAAGAAGAAGAAAGGAAGAAGAAGAAGAAATAAAAGGAGAAAGGTGTTGTTTGAATGTGACCCTACGTTTGACCATGCTTTGCTCTTAGTACTTTTTTAGAATCTCAATTTTTGATAGATACTGGGATTTCAGTTCATTCAAATGCAACCTACGTTCGAACGTGACTTGTTCAGAATCGAGATATTGAGGGTTGAGGATGTTCGAACGTGGGAATCTCTCTCGAACGTGACATGTATTCTATTTAAATTAGTCTCTAACGGCTATATTATTATAACCCTATCAAGGGGTGTCTTCTGTCATGGTTTTGAAGGGTTACACTCCTTCATTAAGAGTTGCATAGAACACTATAAATAAGTTCAAATGCAAGAATAAAGTACCAAGAATTTAATCTTTCTTTTTTTTCTTGATTCAAAGCTTTTATATTTTTTGATTTTCTATTTGAGTTGAGTTTTGATTTCAAGATTACAAAATAGTGTTGATAATCTTAAAGTTAGACATTGTATATTGGGGGTAGAATTTTCAAGAATCCATTTGTATTATAAGTGAAAAAATTACTATTTCGAACATAACGAGTGTCGCGCCTGACTAGTGACTTATTTTCTTCGATTATCTCTTTGCTTTTCTACTACTTAAAATTGTTTTACCACATATTTTTCTACAACATAGTGGAGACAGGCCATGTGATGTTGGACAACTATATTTGATGGAAACAAGCGAGCACTAACATTTTTCCAAAGTTTAAATTTTGCACCTGTCAATAGCTAGCTAGTAAATAATAATACAATAGAAACTTGTTTGAACAAGTGTTAGTAAGTTCTGGAGATGAGAGCAATGCAAACGAAAATATTTGACAAAAAAAAAAAATTGTGATTTTTATATGTACAAATACACGTAAAATAATACATTTGTTATTTATTTGGTAAATGTAAGTACAACTTGTTGAGCCACGTGTACTTACTTTTGAATCTTATTTCTAATCTTTTCTGCACTTACTATTTACCACTTTTGATTGTAAAAATTACAATCATTTCCCTTTTGAGAGAAAAAAGAAGTAAAGTGTGGGGTTGGGCATCAAGATTTGGTAAAGAATAGATCTTGAATAGCAGTCAACAATTTCAGGTTGTGCGGGCCTGAGCTGTTAACCACTTACCCCTCAGCCTGTGATGGCCACCACACAAACGTATCAAAAAATTTTATACGAAATAATGTGACATAATTTTTATTCTTAAATATTATTAAATTTTAAGAAAAATTTTCATAACTAATTCAAAAATTAATTTATTCAATCACAAACTTAATATTCATCATTAAATTTTAACAAATAATCGAAACTAACTTAAACTATAATTATTCTAATAAATTAAACCTAAGTATATGAAGTACTTAACTTATCACAATAAAACTGTTCAAACTACCAAATCAAAATAATTTGGTCTAATTATAATGGAGGACTACAAGTCCTAATTCCAATTCTACAAATAAAAATAAAACAAATGAGACGACTACAAGTCCTAATTCCAATTCAACATATAAAAATAAAATCTTAGAGAGGACTACAAATCTAAATATCAATTAAATATATAAAAAAATAAATCATAGAAGAGGACTATAAGCCCCAATTTTATTTCAACATAGAAAAATAAATATAAGACTACAAATTCTAGTTTTAATTCAATACATAAAAAATAAAACATAAGAGATGATTACAGGTCCTAATTTTATATTTTTCAATTCAACATGTAACAAATAACATACAACAGAGAGCTACAAACGCTAATTTCAATTCAACATTTAAAAAACATAAATTTAGTTCGATGTATAAACATAAAACAAATGACATGACTAACATATTTCGTAACATATTAGTTAATCTTTAAATGTCAAAATTTTTGATATCATCTTTTATTGATATTTACAAGTGAGACTCGTATATTTGTTAAAATAATATAACTATCCTTAAATCTTTTAAAAAAAAAATCAATGGGGCAAATATTTAATAAATTTTAAATTTTTTAAAATTATACTTAGGTCCCAAAAATTTTTAAAATTTCAATCGAGGCAGTTGCCCAGTGTGAATCTGCCCCTAGTCTCATATGAATTAAGAATAATGCTAGATGGGTTTAAAAAATAGACTTGATAATCTCAACTATTACATATATAGTGAGTCTCAATAAATGTTGATACTCACAGTAAAATTAATAGTTGAGATTATCGTGACTAATTTTTAAGGTGAATTAAGAATGTTTGTATACGTCAGCTTTGGCTTTGTCCACTCCGTTTGCATGTTTTGGACTTTATATATATCTTCATCCTAGCATTTCTCTCTTGTTTTGCGTCGAATTTTTCACATCTTCATGGCGGCGAAGAAGCTGTGTGAGAGTTTTTCCAAGGGTTTGATCGAAGAGGTACAAAAATGGGGTAGTATGAAGCAGACGGGTGTGAGTCTCAGGTATATGATGGAGTTTGGGTCCACACCCACCGACAAGAATTTGCTCATTTCCGCTCAGTTTCTTCACAAAGAACTTCCAATTAGGATTGCCCGGAGGGCTATTGAGCTCCAGACCTTGCCTTACGCCTTATCCCAAAAGCCCGCTATTCTCAAAGTAAATAACTCTTTACCATTTTCCTTCATTTCATTGCTCTTGATTGATGGGGGGAGGTTATTGTGGTGGCGGCCCAAGGTTATTGAGGGTCTTGTTGGGTTTCTGTTTTTGTATTGTGCTTTACATCAGTTAATGTTTGTTGGTATTTTACTACAGGGTTTAGTGACGAACCCTAAAGGTAACGAACAATTTGGACATAGGCTTTTAGAAATGGGAGTTTTATCGTCTGTCTAATTGTTTTTACGTTTTTTAATTGATTATTCGACTATGAGAAGGAAGTTAGTTTTTCCTGCTGTGTGGATCTTATTCTTTTAGGCACTCTTTTCTCATTCAAGTTATCACTTTACATTTGCTTTGCATGTTCTTAAAATGGGTTTATTATGCTGTTTTGCTTGTGGCTTTGCTTTTCCTTCTACGTTGACAGCTTTATCAGACAGACTAGCCTCATACTCTTTGCAATGAATTCTGTAGAATGTGCTTCTTTCTATGCTTCATTTGTGGTTAATTTTAGTCTCTATGTATGGATTGTACTAATGCCATATTGAACTATTTATTACCTGTAAGGTGCGGGATTGGTATTTGGACTCTTTTCGTGACCTTAGATCCTTCCCAGAGATTAAGGATAAGATTAATGAGTTGGAATTCACCGAAATTATCAAGATGATTAAGGTCAGACACAACAATGTTGTTCCTACAATGGCTTTGGGAATCCAACAGTTGAAGAAAAGTCTGGGTCCCAAGGTTGATTACAAGGATCTTGATGAAATTCACCAGTTTCTGGATCGCTTTTACATGTCAAGAATTGGTATTCGCATGCTTATTGGTTAGCCCCATCTTTCTTTTGTCATTCGTTGTACTTGATTCTTTTCTGGTTGTACCCTTTTTAACACCTCGTTCTCTTTTCACATAATTTTATGCTAGAGCCAATGGAAGTGGATGCTAAAAGTGTGTTTTTGTAATTAAAACTTGGGTGAAACTCAGGGCAGCACGTGGCATTGCATGATCGCAACCTCCTCCTGACTGTGTGGGTTATATACATACAAAAATGTCTCCTTTAGAGGTAGCACGAAGTGCCAGTGAGGATGCCCGTTCCATTTGCTTACGGGAGTATGGCAGCGCTCCTGACATTAATATCTATGGAGATCCTGATTTTACATTCCCGTAAGTTAATTTGCTAGTTAGTCTTCTGTTCTTATAACACTACAGAGTTTTCTTACAGCTCTGGCTTTTTCTTTCAATGTAATTTTCCTGAGCATAGGAATATTGTCTCACTATACTTTTATCGACCGCTTGCTCTTCTGGATCATTATTTTCAATTCGTAAAAAAAAGTTTTGTTAAATTTCTCAATGTCAATGCATTATGATTTCCAAATGAATAGGGTTGAATATCAGTTCTACTCCAGTCAATATCCTATGTTTATTTTGTTAAATCTATTGGCAGTTACGTACCGGCACATTTACATCTGATGGTATTTGAGTTGGTTAAGAACTCCTTGCGTGCAGTCCAAGAGCAGTTTATGGACTTGGACAAAATTGCACCTCCTGTTCGAATAATTGTTGCTGATGGATTAGAGGATGTTACCATTAAGGCATGTGTTTTGTTATTTTTTTTCATTCATCTTAAGTTTCTGATCTGGAGAAACTTTGATGAGAAAAAACATGCTGGTGTCAACTAGACGAGTTTTTCCCCCTATGCATTCTTTAACAAGTTATTTTATCTCATATTGTAGGTATCTGATGAAGGGGGTGGAATACCAAGAAGTGGTCTCCCTAAAATTTTTACATATCTCTACAGCACTGCTCAAAACCCCTCGATGAGCAGGTAGATGAACTGGGAACATCTAATGTGGCAACAATGGCTGGTTATGGATATGGGATTCCAATAAGCCGCTTGTATGCTCGATACTTTGGAGGGGATCTGCAAATCATCTCTATGGAAGGATATGGTAAGTTGAGCATCATATTATTTTGTTGGGCTGTTATGAATCCATTATCCTTTTAAGAATGAGCAAAGCAGTGTTTTCAATCTTGCCCCCTCCCCACCTCCACAAAACCCCCCAAAAACCCAAAAAAATGGAAAAAAAAAAAGTTTGTAGCCTGGCTTATTTACTTCTTACAGAGAAAAGAACATGACGAAACAGCATGATGTTGTTGCTGTCTGGGTATTTTGCTTGAGGTAGATAGCCATGAAAATGGTTTTTATGGGGCATCAGAGCTTAAAGAAGTTGTGTTTGAGTTTCTCGGTTTACAGCTGGTTATCGGACAGCTATTTTGAAGAAAATGTTGCCTCCTTTTATTCTAACCTTGAGAATAGAAACATCTGCAGTACAATTGGATCTATTAAATGGTGTGTAGTGGCCAGAAGCCTGATTTAAAAATGTTAGAGCCCACTCCGTATCTTCTCTTCACGATTGGCTATATATACAGAGTGATGGTCAGAATGTAGAAATGACATCTCCAATAAATCGTTAGAAGTGTTATAGTTAGAAACGCTCGAGCTAATATTGCCAGAGTTATAAGGGACACACTGTGTAGCCATATACGCAGCTTGTGATAGTAGCATCTGTGCCGGCAGGGGAAGCCATCCATGTGTAATATGCTTGAAGACTGACCTGAAAGATATAAAATCCTGACTCTGGCAGTTCCTCATAATGAAACTGCAGATATGTGCAATAATATTATTCCTTGAGAAACTGTGAGATTGTTGGGACAAAGTTGAAAATCTTAGTTGTGGGCCACTCTTACAGATTTCCATGTGATTGCTAGGCATTATAAGGATTTGAAATGGAATCCAAGATCTGAGAGTCATGCATGTTGAACCATTAGATTTTAGTTTTCATCTCTAGTAATATTGGCAAAAATTTTCTCTTAACTATAGATCCATGCTACAAATTTCCCAAGTTTTATTTTCCTTATTAAGTAACTTAGATGTTCCTTCTTGTGTTTTCAGATTGATATACGAATAATTATCCTTTCTTTTGTTTATATCCTAGCATGTTACTATTCATAGTATCATAGTATTGATTTTACGTTTATTCTTATATAATCCTTCTTGGATATCTGTTCACTCCAATTTTACCTTTTGATTCTCCTCCTAAATTTGGTCCTGTATCTTAGATTTGTTTGTGTTCTTACAGGGACAGATGCATATCTTC